GTACATACATACGTACGTACATACTTACATACATACATACATACATACATACATATACATACATACATACATACATACATACATACATACATACATACATACATACATACATACATACATACATATACATACATACATACATACATACATACATACATACATACATACATACATACATACATACATACATACATACATACATACATACATACATACATACATACATACATACATACATACATACATACATACATACATACATACATACATACATACATACATACATACATACATACATACATACATACATACATACATATACATACATGCATGCATGCATGCATGCATGCATGCATGCATGCATGCATGCATGCATGCATGCATGCATGCATGCATGCATGCATGCATGCACATACATACATACATACATACATACATACATACATACATACATACATACATACATACATACATACATACATACATACATACATACATACATACATACATACATACACACACACACACACACACACACACACACACACACACACACACACACACACACACACACACACACACACACACACACACACACACACACACACACACACACACATACATACATACATACATACATACATACATACATACATACATACATACATACATACATACATACATACATACATACATACATACATACATACATACATACATACATACATACATACATACATACATACATACATACATACATACATACATACATACATACATACATACATACATACATACATACATACATACATATACCGAATGCACTCACATACACCTTTTTTATACAGACACTCTTTCTTTCTTTCTTTCCTTCTTCTTTTCTTTCTTTCTTTCTTTCTTTCTTTCTTTCTTTCTTTCTTTCTTTCTTTCTTTCTTTCTTTCTTTCTTCTTTTCTTTCTTTCTTTCTTTCTTTCTTTTTTTCTTTGTTTCTCACTCACTCTCTAAATGAATATCAAAGGAAGAATGTTGTGTGCTAGCTAGTTCACAATAAGAACTCTAGCACATGTTTTATGAGCTGGCTGCTCGCGAGCAGGTTAATGCAAATGTTGGGGTAAGGAGGATGTAAAATAACCTAACCTGCACAGAGCAATATAAGTAACAAGTCATGCGGCCTTAAATGTTCACTTCAGGGCTATTTCACACACACATACGGTCCTAAAAAGAGGTTAATACAAACAACAAACACTCGGTTATTTTTTATTTCTTACGCCTTAAACAACATTATTTCTCAATTATTGTTTCTATCAAACTACTATCAAAATTATAACTTGTATTTATTACTTAGCATTATTTTTTACATTTTAAATTATAATTTTGACCATAGTTTAACACATTTAATATATTTCAACGGTGCAATTAATATAATTACGGTACGATTTTCAAAATCATTGTTCTCAGCTTTAACAAAAATTTTTTTTTACTAGAGCTTTATTTTATTCAGGAACGCAGTAGCGGTACCGTTTTCATATATCACTTTTTTTCTGCGCTGCTGTAAAAGACACCTTCTAATGAGTAATAGCATTTTGTGGTCAGCACCGGTCATTTTGTTTACATAGAGAAAGAAAAAGCCCCGGTATTCACTATCACAATGTTTAATCTTACGAATTTAGAATGATCCTTTTTCTCAGATTTTATATTATAATGATTAACATAACGATTTCCGAAAGATTGTTTGCTCAGAGAACTTTACTTTTTTTAATTAAAATTTGTATTTATAATTAGTTTTAAAATTCTACACTTCACAATAATTGTTTATTTATCACCTGAAAAATAAATTCTGAGTTCCTAAGTTTTCCAGTTATAGTGTTTAATATATTGCTCACTGTATCCATTAGTATCGGTGTCAGTGGCTTAGATTCATAATTCCGACACTTAGAAGTTAAAAATAGTATTGTGAGATTTGGCAGCACGCCTTTCTAAGTTAATTTCGATAATGGTTGAGTGCTGACCGTCAGTCAACAACGATAAGCTTTTTTTTTTTTTTTCGTCTTACAGTCCATGCCGTGTAGTGTCGGTAGTCGTGAAATCTACAGCCGTCTGTATCATCAGTTAGTTCTGACACAGACTGTCTTTCATGCCATGACGCAAAACTGTTCAGTATCTTCTCTCTCGTTATCCCTTCTTTCCCAAGCAACTTTTCCACAGTGACGACCTACTCCAGTTTTTTTCCTTTCATGACATGACCAAACAATGTAGATTGTCTCCTCCTAATGTCGGCAATCATTCCTCTTCGCTAAGTCAGTTGCTTTCAAGATATGTTCATTACTCCTGTTATAAGTCCAGGCCTTTCTCGTCATCCGTCTATAAAAGACAAACTACTGACCATATAATTGCCTAGTAGAATAACGAAAAGTTAACGAATGACGGGGTTTGTTAACGTAAAATATGTGGTTTTCCAGACTGAAAATTTGTTTCCTGTATTTATTTTCACAAATAGTGTTTACAAACTATTCTGCGTCACAGTTGCAGTTTTAAACTACTACTTTCGCAACTAAACAGATTTTTTAAACCTTCAGTAAGTTGCAGGTTCCGTCCTTTGAAATGTATTTTGCTAGTAATTTAATCTATTTTTCTCACAAATATAGTTTTGTCCTCCCATTCCACAAACAGCCACGGTTAGCAGTCAGTCATAATTTGAAATATGCCCTTAAATAGCGTACATGTTTTCTACATATTTATTACAATTACTACGGTTTATTGTGGTTAGATATGTGCACAGGGCTTGTGTATAATATTTAACTGTTGCTGATGTTTTTTTTTGCTTTTACTTGATGAATGAAAGAAGGGAGTCTAAAAGGGCAGAATATTAGAGAAGCTTGCGCGCCAAATTCTTCAACCTTCGTTAAAAAAAAAAATGTTTATTCATTTGTTAGTTCCTAACCTTTAACCGCGATGCAGTCCTAATTTTTAACCATTCCTAGTCGTGTTGGTTGTTTTTAACAATCACAATCTTAGGTTTAAACCAGTTTTTTTCAAAGTCGCAGTTTTTCAACTACATCGTTTTCCAGTCTTGGATTTTAACTAAGTCCGATTAAGTAAAGGACCCTTTTTTACGCCTTTAGGCGTATAGGGCATATAGGGCTAGACCTATATTTTTATAGACCAACGGCACAAGATGGGGGATGTGATCAGCATCACGCCTTTTTATCCCGTGACTACACCCGGTACCCACTCAAGGTTGGGTCGACCTGGGAGCCGAGGTCATTTTTGAAAAAAAAAAAGATTGGCTCTGAGAGGGAGCGAACCCACGACCTTCCGATCCGCGGCGAGCATGATTACTGTGAAGTTATTCAATCATTTCCAGTCACTGTCACCGGTTTCAAACTTAACACACACAAAATCTCAAGGATGGTCTTCAGCGTTTACTAATTCCTTATCTTCTTCTTTGTTTACCGGCAGTAAGCTTCGGCAATAGTCTTGGTTGTTCATCCGTTTGGACTTTGGCTGAGGACTGAGTTTTGCGTGCACATCCGTTTTACGAGCTTATTTGTGTGCAGTTGATTGTTCCCTGCCGCTCATGCTGATGCACTCCGACTTCGAAGGAGGTTCCTAATTAGTCGACATGCGTGCCTTGCTTGGGATGCATCTGATCTGTTCCTGTTTTTCCCATAAAGAGGCGCCAGAACCTACAAGGGGAGTTAATTAACACACACACACACACACACACACACAATAGTTTATAATGTCTATTCTGACAGCTAAAATTTATGATGTAGTATGAATGTCCTATTGATTTCTACTAACGTTATCCGCAAAACCTTGCAGCTACATCTTAGGTGCTCACACTCCAAAGGGACCTAAACAATTATCTCTCATCTACCCCAAAACGCAATATTTTTCCTTATATATTTTAAATGTAATTGCTTTTAGTATATTGAACTTCTTTTTCCGCGGAGGGAGAAAAAAGATGTTTTCAGTTGTAACTTCTTATTCCGCGGAGCAGAAAAAAAAAGATGTTTTCAATTGTAACTTCAGCTTTTTAGGTATAATAAAATTTATGTGATTTTGCAAACTCATTCTTTATTATTTCTTTTAATAAAAATTAAACGACACTGCCGTTATCAACATATTTATAAGATATATATATATATATATATATATATATATATATATATATATATATATATATATATATATATATATATATATATATATATCGTTTTTTGAGATTCACTGGTTTAATTTCAAACTGTAATAGCCTCAAGGCTTCATGGGGTTTAAGGCCGTATTATGTTTAAATCCAAGCTTTGTCTGCAGGCTACACCAGCTTGCTACAGCTGCTAGGGTGTCAAAATTATAACTTCCTTGAAGGTTGAACTGGATATACATGCTTGCCTTGCTTGTCTGCCAAACAGAATGAGACTGGTGAAGGCTCACTGATGGTCAAATCTTCATGGAGCGATATGTAGGCAAGAGAAGCTCAATAGTCGTACTGATTTATCTCGTTGTACTATACATGAGCCGCCGTGGTGTAGCGGCTAGAAATCTTTTGTGGATCCTAAAATCGTGGGTTCAAATCCCCACGGTGCCAGATTTTTTCGTAATTGACCTTGGCTCCAAGGTCGATCCGGCCAGAAATGTGTACCAGGTAAAATTCTGGGAAGTAAAGACGGCCGGCGTGATGTTTACCACATAACCCATCAATTAGTCTATGACAATGTTAGTCTTGGCTCAAATGCCCTTTGTACAATTGATATGTTAGGGGATTTTTACATGAACTAAACTATTACTATTTTCTAGTATTTTATAATTGCAATTTGTAACGTGAATAATTCTTAATGTTTTTAATAATTTTGCTCGGTTAAAATGTTTTGTTTATAAGAAGGTTCCTACCGTCACTGAATACTTAGTCACTAAACAGTTTTCAGTTACCAGCACAGGAAACAAAACCGTAATGATATTAGATCGTTAACAGTCTAATACTACTGTTTGCTACTCACTTGAATTCCGGTGTTACTCCTTTCAGCTGGTAGAATGGGATTGAATACTGAATGACCCAACTTCGCAAAAGGCAGTCGTAATAGGGCGTAGCCCAATAGCCATCCTCCGCTGTGACTGAAACTGTTTTGTTCCATTTAGCATTGAAAGATGTCACGTTGCCTACGTCCGTTTTGTTGGCGTATATTCTGTTTCGCGTCTTCAGGAGGCTTTCTGTTGACTTGTTGACATGAACCGAGAACCACGTTGTTGTCTGTGGCTTGTACAGTCTGGAGAGGTCCGTAACTACAACAGATCCATCTCGCGACCGGTAGGAGTAAGGGAACAGTGACTGCAGCTCATAAGATGGTTGGGACGATCTTGATGTTGGTGAGCTTTGAGACGTAGCTGGGGACAATGAAGGAGGTGCAGTAGACATGAGGTTGAACGCTATGGCACAACCTGTAACTAAAGGTCCGGTTTCTACAAGCGATTGAGTCATGGCGAAGAACATATCCAGGAATGACTCAGGTGGAGATTTCGTGTACAGAAGTAGATCATTGATTGTGTTGGCTATCTGCACAGTTCTCTTCACCTCCTCCATAAACACAGGGAAGAATTGGTCTGGTTTGAACTTTTGGGTTTTCAAGATTATGATTCTCTTTCCTGGGATATTACATGGTTCTGGGTTAGCCTGCAGTTTGTCCACTAAGTTAAGTGTTTGTGTGAGAAAATGATCTTCGGGAGATACGATAAGACCCTCAGTCTTGCTGCTTTCTGAAGAAGCAGACCGCGGTTTTCTTTCACGTAGGAAGTTATCTTCAGGATTTAAAGAGTGATGCCTTATCTCTTCGTTGTATGCCATGCTGTTGGACTGATACTTTAAGGTGTCAAGGCTGAATCTTGTGGGGATTTCACGCCTATTTTTTCTTCTTTGTTTATGCTTAAAGATATCAGAAGGTTTATTTGAACTCGTTAGCTTCATAGTTTCTCTTTCTCCGTTGTAATTCAAAGCGAATAAAGAAGCATTCCTTTTGTGTGAATGAGACATTTGAAGTTTTCTGAGATAATTGTCGTTTTCTGTCATTACACGTCCACTAGAGTCGTATTGTTCAATTATGTTAGAAGCAATATTATTTAATACAGGATCCAACTGGGTGGAATTTCGTTGAGACAATTCATCGTGTAATGATTTTAAAAACATGTCCAGAGAGATATTTTGGGAATTATTCCTGAACATTGTGGAATTGCGAATTAAGAGCGAAATTAACTTCAGCACTTCTTTCCGTCTTTTCGATTGAAAAGGTCCACCATGTTCTAGCTTGGTTTTTGAAACAAACATGTTGATCCGAGCTCTAGAGTTCCAGATTGTGTATCCGCCGTCGAAAATGGCTTCGTCTGATGTCTTTATATATACATTTCCGTCACTGGCAGGTGTTTGAAAGTTTATGTTCTTAATACCCGTTTTGTTGCTGGAAAGTGAGTTCATCATGCCAATATTCCCCACTGTCATAGCGCAGACGAGAGTCGACATCACACACAGAAAGGTAATCACTAGTGACGATATGTTGTGAAATACACCTTGTCCCCACACCCGTGTAGTCGATGTTAGTGTCGACAAACATGGCGATGATAACAACACGGCATGATGATTCACCGACGCAGCCATTGTTGCGGTTCAGAGCATATTCAATATCTTCGTGAATTATTCATCCAACAGCCACTGAGGAATACAATAGAACAATCGTTGGGAGCAGTTGTGAAATCCAGATAACGATGAAAAATGTACGAATGTTTAGATTTTTTTTAGATATACCCCATCTAGGTAATGTCAGCTTTAACTAAGCCCTGTATCATACTTATAAAATACTTGCACGAGAAGTAACTACACCCCGGAATCGTCGTTTATATTTTGTATTTTACATCTGCAGCGGAATTCAGATAACAATCAAAGCCTGCAACGATCACCACAGTAAACGTGGGTTCCATATTCCTTTGAGCGAAAAGAAAATCTGATAATATGTGCCTTATCTTGTTATCTGATACACAAACTTGCAGGAACAGAATTCCATTTCGCCAAACAATAGAACACAAATGAGTAACAGACTATGAGCCCTATATGACATGAGGTTTGAGGTTTGAACAACGGATCATCATCCATCATGGCACACAGGTAGTAATTCATAAGTGCTCCGTTCTACTTCTAACTCAAGTCTGAGTCCGAAGTGGCTCTGCGCAGTGCACGGGCTCTGTAGAACCGGCTAGGATCCTGAAATATTTTGGGTAGGTTTTGAACTCCAAATTTTCCCCGGGCACACGAGGCGGACACCATACCTCGAGACTACGCAGTCCACATATGTGACATATAAAGGCGCAGCTGGACAACTGTGATATGCAGGCGATTTCCAGATAGGGGCATATAACTGCACATTTTATTTTGATTCGCTTTTCTTTTCCCTCAATTGTTTTTTTTTTTTTTTTTAGATAACCCCCGTTTGAAAACACCAGGCTGTGTGAATTATTATGTACACTTTAAAATGCAACAAAACAAAACAAAATATTCTCAGGGACACATGGATCATTCAAAAATTAGTTAACCAGCTAGACTGACTTGTTGATTGGTTACAAGATTTGTGATTGGTGAGTAGGTTAGAAGTTTGTAATTTTGTTAGCTAGGCGGCTCGTATGACTGCTTGGTTGATTCTTCTACTTCTTCTTTTGTCGTCTCACTGTTACCAGGTTGTCGACCAATGTCGTGGTTTTATATATTTGTCTTGCGCTTCTTGGGTGGCTTGGGTGATGGATTTGTTCCATTGTTTTGCAAGTTTCATTTACACCATCTATCAATCGCTTTCTTGGTATTCCTCTCGCCTTCCTACCAAATGTTCTATTGCAAAAAGTAAGTTAGTTGCATATTCTGTAATATATTTGAAAACAAATTATTTTTTTTAAAGCGATTCTACTGTCCGGTGTTCTAGTTTTCAAGCTATATCGTCTGAGAAAGCACTGTAAAACAATCGGAGTGAGACTGTTCATAAACATTATTCTCGTGACCCATTGCCTAAATATTAAACTATCTTAGGCGCGAATTTTTTTTTTTGTAGAGTCCTCCGCCTCCCCCTCTCTCTTCCTCTCCCCCCCCCCTCTCTCTCTCTCTCTCTCTCTCTCTCTCTCTCTTTTTTTCTCTCTCGCTCCCTTTATCGTTCTCTCACTGTCTATCCATCTCTCTATCAAAGTTCATAACTATCGGTTTATACAATAACTTAACAACGTGAAGATAGGTATTATGGTGTAACTTAACCCGATTCAAAACAACACCTACTACTGTTTAAGAGTGATCTAGTTTATATTGATAAAGGCTTTCTTGTCGAGATGCTTCATTGTCGTTCCTAATTGTGATACTCTGAAACTCACTAGTTCTATTTAGATTGATTTATCTTCTTAAATCTAGGCAGGGCATTTTCTTTTTATAGAAAAACAAATGGGCGTCGCTACTAACCACAGCGTGTCATGGTCTTAGTCGTAGTCGAGGTTTAAACCTCACTGCAATAGGGTCACCCCGTATTTGCTCTGTTTCTGTGCCAGTGAGAATCAAATGAAATGTCCCTCACTGTTCCATCTAAAAAAAACTGGCGAACAAACAATTAGTACCGGCACAATTCCGACATTCGCACAGGCAGTAAATGCATAAGGCAGTTTCTAGAGACGCCAACAGTGATCAACAGAAATTTAGTTTGTGGTTGATGGAAGTAGTCGGTCACGATAAGTGGGCTATACAAAGTGTCTATTACAGCTGTGGTGAAGAAGAGAAAAAATGTCTAAAACATGATGCCAGTACTGCGTACTGTTGCGCACCGCCAGAAATAAATCCCTGGTTTTAGGTCTGCGATCGAAGTCTACGCCGGTTTTAGATATCGTGGTCAACATTCTCCCTCCCAGTAGCAAGGTTAAACCTAAACAGTGATAATCCGTTGTCTTTTAAGTTATAAAACTTATCGGCTGTAAAACAAAATCTACCTCAGCTAAGGTGCTTTTTCAACATACTGAGAAACATATATATTCTTGGGGGACTGGAGAATACGAGCCGGTGCACTGAAATACCAACTGGTGCCGTTATTAATACATCCAAATATAGGAACGAGCGTCAAGAAACAGATTAAAAACAGCATATTCATACCAGCATTGTGCTACCAGTGCCAGACACTTGGACATTATCAAAGACTAACCTACGTAAAATTATCACATGTGAAATGAGACGCCTGAGAAAAAGCCACCAACTGAGACAAAGTTAGGAATGATATTAACAGACAGACTGTTGAAACAACACCATGCAGCAAATTCAATGGGAAACAGGAGATCAAATATTGTGGCCATTTAGTAATAATGCAGCCAGAAACACTACCAACGCAGGCGCTACACGCGAGATGATCTGAAGTGACTCAAGAGGCCGCCCTAAGAGGACATGGATTGATAAGATAAAAGAGCTTTTATATCGACATGAAGGGACAAAAGCCATTTCTGTACACCAAACAGAGGATGGCAAAGTGTTCGGCCCCACAACGCTTAATGTCAGAAGGGAAACTGATAAGAAACACAGCTACACATATGGCAGATTTTATATTTATTTTTGTACCTGCACTTTTTTGTCAACTGCCTCCGGTTTTAATCCTACTGAAAACTTATTGCTAACAATACTGACTTGCACTGCGTACTGAAAAAAGGACAGAACAATTATCAATGACTTTATGAGTATGCTCAGGAAAATAGAGAAGGGATGGGTACGAAGGCAGTGGTTAGTGGCTCTACAGCATTCACTGCTGACAAGGATTAGTTTCGTTTTCGTGCCAGGAAATGTGGGGGTACAAGGAAATAAACAAGCCGATAGACTTGCAGGTAAGGCTACTGTGAAAGCCAGACAAGTAACGGACCAGGTGATATACTGAAGGCTCTTACAGATTTAAGACGCTTGTGTGAACCAGCTGAGAACTATAAATATGCAATCATGGTCAGACTGCAAGAACGGCAAGTCAGATGGGATGTCACCAAACAAGAACACTGCGCGGATAGCCGAAGAAAAATTATAAACCAACACAGGACTGGTGTCGTCACCCGCTACACGCTGTGGGATTGAATGAGGAGGGCATCCGACCACTTATGGGCTTGGTGGTTCGGCGTGCAAAGAGGATCATCTGTCCACTAACTAACAAGGACAGAAAAATACTGACGTTTCAAGCATATTTATTGTCGGCGCCTGTGGCAAACGTAGTTTTTAATTTCAGTGTACCCGGTGCGATCCCAGCTGCGGACGACTTGACAGCAGACAGCCTTGTATCGACAGTGGTTTCGAGAGCCGACTGTTGGAAAAGCGATGGCATATCACTGAGCGTAAAATTGTCTAGAAAATTCACGAAAAGCCTATAAAGGCTGGGGTTGGTTTTGCGACGTCCCGTAAAGGATAGGCAACTAGCATTAACTAACAGTAATCTTTTCTATACCTGTCTAAAACACAATACAATGATTTCATTTTAAATGGAAAGGGGGGGGGGGGGTTGAAGGGCGGTGGGTTCACATTCGTTTTCAGGATTGTCAAATGCTGAGAGCTTACTGCACACAATAACAACTAAAATGTTGAAAGTTGAATTAGGGATGGACATCACAGCACTCGAGACACTGCGATAAGCACCCTATCCCCATCTTCAGCAGCAAACAAAGAGTTCAAATTCCGATGGTGACAGTAAATGTCTGATTGTATATCCGTCTCGCTCTTCCTCTGAGTGTTGAGCGTCGGCCGGATCCTCTGGCAAACTCCCCGTAACGCCATTCTCCCAAGACCATAATGATCTATTTATGCCTCCGCACTGTTCACTGGCTCCCTAGGGGTCCTAACAACATTTCAATTGTCATACATCAATTGCCAACCAAATGGTGCAGAGCTGGCCAATCTGTCTGCCTGCTCATTTCCCAACACAGATGCATCACCTGGAT